ACTGGCCATAATCACTTCTACATAAAAAAAAACTTGCCAATACCATACAGAATGTGATGATTAACACATAAGTCACTTTCCTCAAGTTTATAAATAGATATTCACCACCAAAATGTGTATTTGGGGCTTACTCAGGGCCGTGTCCCACAATCTGTAAAATCTCAGATCCTGCTAATCTGCCCTTGCTGTTGACATCCTTTCCAATATACCTTGAGGGAAAGCTCATTGTGGATTCCCAAGGGAAATGCTGCCCCTGAGTGCAGCAAGGAAGGAAGAAATATAAACAAATTAACAACATTCATCTGACAGCTGTGTTTAAAAACAGAGTCAAACACCAGTTGTGATTAACTACCTTTCTCTCCTTCCTCAAACACTTCGAGACCTTGTGTTAAATACCCGATGGGCCGAGGCATTCCTGCTGCTGGGATGCATGGAGCAGCCAGGCTCCCACACACCTCCAGGCTGCAGCTCTATTCTGGGCCACCATGCCCACGCCTCAGCAGGTCCCTTCATTTCCAGCCACCCACTGCTTGGCCTGTATTCTTCAATCCTGCTGCTTTTCCTTCCTTGCTTTAATCCTCTGGAGTACCCCTCACATAGTTTGGATGTGGTGGGCTCTGGTGGAGCCATCCTAATAATGGGGTTAAAATTCCCTTTCCTTGCACTTTGCCTTGTTCATAAATCCCAGTGTTTCCAGCACACTTCTTTGTCAGGGTTTCTATTCTTCCTGCTACTTTTTCACAACCAGAAACCCTGTAAATTTTCTTTACAATTACCTATTTTCCTGGTGGGAGGAGCAGAGGTGTAGGGACAATAGGAATGGCTCTGCAGTAAACTGAGGAGGGAAAGGTGGGAAGTGTCTTTATGCAGAGGAATTCTGGGTTTATAAAAACAAAGATTTTTGAGTAAATGTTCCTGGCCCTAAAGATTATAGAGCAAGGCTTGAAAACTCTGACAGAAGTTCTTTCCAAAAGCTCAGGAGCCTGACACCCATGAGAGAGAATTCCACATTTCTTCTGCTAACTTTGAAATATCAGAATTTATGAAAATTGGACAGTGCTGTTGCAGAAGGCAAAAATATTTTTGGAGGGATTTTATAAATATTTGCAAGCCTGGTCTATATGCTGTCACTTGTATAAATACGATCTTCAGAAAGTAACATTCTCTGCAGTATTTATCCTAAACAAAGGGAAAGATAGTGTACACAAGCCAGTGTCATTATTTTCTCTTCCTCTAAACAAAAGCACAGGTTTCTCCTATTCCACTTAAGTGACACTCTGCTTGAAGTGAAGAGAGAGGAACATATTCCTAACCTGAGCCTAGTTCCTAATGTATTAATGCTGGAGGGCATTTCCAGGTCCTCTCCTAGCACCAGAGACTGTAAATTTCTCCAATATCAAGATAAAAGTTTGTCTTTTTGCATATAAAAAATGAACTATTGCAGGAGTAGATTTCATACTGTAAAGAAATACTTCAGAGAATAATGCCAAGTGAGCTGTTTATTTTAGAGAGATCTGTTTTGTAGCAGAGATTTGAGTTAAAAAATAAGTGGTGTTCAGGAAATCAGAAAATTACTCTGTTAGTGTAGTATTTCAAGCACAGTGGGTTTTAGGGCTGTGATAGTGTTATTAATCATTATTATTATTAGTGATGATATAGTGCTTTAGTTGACAAGATGGTGTTTGGTCAAAGGTTGCAATCTATCTGGGAAGTCTTTTCCAACATTGGATTCTGTGATTATCCTGTGTTACAGAGATGTAACTCCTTAAATAACTTTTCCAGGGAGCTCTCCAGATACCTGACCAGGCTCCATTCTGCCAAGGTAACAGGTGTGAGTGTTTTCCTGGTTGGAATACTGTGCACAGCTAGGCTGTTTCCACAAGGATATAAACTGGGATGGTGAAACCCCAGCTCTTTGGATGTTGTTTTCTAAGAACATGTGGAGTGGCAAGGGCTCTGTTGCATGGGTGTCAAGGCAGTGTCTCTTAGCAAGGCTTTAGTTAATGAAAGGAGAGAAGGGAAAGAGTGACAGATCAAATTGTTTTAAGCTCCTAGGAGTATCCCCCATGAACATGGGGATAGGGAAGCTGTGTGGTTTGTTTGGGAAGCTGTTTCAGGGGTACTGGCTTCTCCCCTGGACAGGAAGGTTGTGTAACTCAGAAATCCATGGTTATCCACAGTTAACTCAGTGGGATCAGAGAATGGCCAAGAGTGACTTCACGGACAGGCAGTGCTTGGGTTGAGGAGGAATGGTTTACAAGGGAATGGAGTGACAGAACAAGGTGGCTTGAAACTGGCAGAGGGCAGGGCCGGGTTGGATGTTGGGGTGGATTTTTCCCTGTGAGGGTGGAGAGACCCTGGCACAGGTTACCCAGAGAAGCTGTGGCAGTCCCATCCCTGGCAGTGTCCAAGGCCAGGTTGGATGGGGCTTGGGGTAACCTGGGATAGTGGAATGTGTCCCTGCCCATGGCAGGGGGTGGCACTGCATGGGTTTTAAGTTTCCTCCTAATGCAAACCACTCCATGAAGTTAAACATGGTCAGAAAGGGCAATTTAGAGGTTAGCTCTTGCTCTGGATTCATTGGAGCAGTCACTTTGGGAATAAATCCTTTAGAACAAGAGTTAGCTGTGTGGTGTCCTCTCATCAATGTCCTTGTTTGCTTCAGATGAGCGAGGGGGAAGGAGTCTTTGCACTCCTGAGGAGAAGTGGGAAGGGGTAGTGAATTTTAACATGGATGCTATAAATAACAAGCTAAGATTCCCAATGCAAGTAATTGGAGCTCATCTCTCTACACACATGAAGAGATCTGAGGTGAATGGGAATTGAGAAGGCTGAGGAGGAGAGTGCAGAACCTTTTCTTCACTGTTGAAGGAAATAAATACCCCTGGTAGTGATGAGATTGGAGATGACATTTCACTTCTAGGAAATACTGATTTTCTGCTTTCTTAGCTTGTAAAAAATGTGCTTTTTCATAGTGCTGGTGACTGGGCTGTCACTTGAGCAAAGAGAGGGAGATGGCTGAGGAAAGTCCCCTCAATGCAGAGCTGAGCTCCAAAGTCATTCAGTTCCCAGGTATTGCCTCCTCCCCTCCCTGCTGTATTAAATAAGAAATAACACACATGTCCTGTAAAGAGTTTCCATGGAGCTGTGTTGCTCTAGCTGGATTTTCATAATTTGTGCTTCATCCTTATTCATGTGAAGGAACTCTCTGTGGAGCTGAAAGTGGATTGTTTGCTCCAGTCAGAGTTTGTAGGTACTTCTTCACCCAGCAGAACTTGGGAGTTGGAAGCATCCCGGGATGAATTTTTGTTGTGAAGGCTGGACAAGGAATATGTTCCTTTTGTTTTTTTCCAGAATAAGCTCACCTTCAAAATGAGAAGACAAAAGGAAACAGTGAACAAACTATCACATTACTTAGAAAGCAATTTCTGCTATTTTCAGGAGATTATAATAATTCAGTATTTCAAATATGTGTTCTTCCTTCCCACTCAAGGATATCTAACTATTAGAGACTTCTTGGTAAATAAACAAGAGCCATTTTCAGTTTTTTTTTCTGACTATAAAGCAAAAGGGACTGGTCTGTCCTTAGGCTTGTTTCCTTCTGTTGAAATATCCCCTCTGTCTTGAGGCTTCCAGCAGAACTGGGAAGTTGTGTTCTCCTGTTTTACTCCTGGACTCCTATTCCCATGTTATATTTCTTACTGGAAAAGCTTCATCTAAGACAAAGGAAAGGAAGTTGTTAATAACATGCAGCAAAGAACAAGACGTGTGAAGAAGTGGAAGCATCTGACAGATATTTTAATTTCTCTATGCTAAAATAAAGCAAGTCACACTTGGAACATGAAATACCTGGGTCTGGTTGCTGTTTTGCAGGAAGATTTTCCATACAGAGGTTCTTTTTTATTGTTGAATTTGAATGCAAGTTTAGAACGGTCTGTGCCAGTGATGAGACCCATCTGTGAGAGACTAACATGATTCATGGAGAAATTATTTGTCTCCGGTAACTGGTGAAGCCCCTTGAGATGTTTGGCAGTGTTTTCTGGTGTCAAGAACTGCTTTTTAAAAGATCTTGCATGTAGGGTCTCTAGCAAGGTTTCTGTATCTCAGATGTGATATACTGATTTACTGGCTCAAGGTAAGTAATTTCTGTGCATGATTCTCATTATAAAGACATTAAAATTAGGTCTCACTGCTAGAATATTGCAGTTTACAATGCTCAGTGGGACTCTGCAAAGGATTAATTAGCATAACTCTTAATAAGATTTCTTTTTAATAGTAATAAGTATGTGTACTAACTTCTAAATTATTTGCGTGGAAATATATTTCTCCTTCAATATGGTATAATAAAATACTTACTCGTCTACTTCTGGAAGTCTAGTACAACCAAAAATAATGACCATGTACTTTTTGTTAATAAACCTCTGTGTAAGCACTCACCTGCTACATTTCCAGTGTTTGGGTGTCCAGTTATCCAGTACAACATTCAGTATTTATTACAAATTAGTATTGCTCTGACATAATTGATGTCTTTTTGCTGGTTTTGAACTCGTTCCTTTCCAGTTCCCATTCTTTTAGTTGCCAGCAAGGAGCAAACTGGCTGTTGGGATTCTGTTGTCCTGTCTCTTTTCAGTTATCAGTGGTTTATAGGTCCTTGCTAAAAGCACAGTATTGACTCTGCAAAGGTAATTATACCTATTGGAATACTATTAATAGTGTTTAGAAGGGATCATTGCAGTAAATCTATTTTAGCCTTTTTGTCAGCTGTGTTTTTATGTAATATTGTGTAAATCCCCTGGAAACACTGATACCTTTGAAGAGATTGGTTTGCTTTTAAAGGAGAAAGGAAGGGAAAACAGAAAAGAACGGATTTAGGGTAATTTCCTTATTGAAAGATGCTTTTTATGGCTCTTAAAAAAGTAAAAGTGAATGAAGGCATGACAGAGAATAACCCCCACATGTGCAGTTCCTTTTCTGCCAACCCTCTCTTATTTTTCCTGCAGGAAATCCTGGCTGAGCAAAGTTGGAAGCCCAAGTTCCCGCATTGATAAAACAAGTTTTTCCAACGAAAAGGAGATCTCGAAGCTTGACTTCTCGGATTTCAACACTAGATACTAACAGGAGGGCACCTCTCTAAGCACAAAACTCTGACATTTCTGCTGCATGTTATTTTCTGTGCCTCTATCAAATGTCACAAGAGCATTGAAATACTTTGTACTAGGGATGAACATAAATGCTCCATGTTCCCACCAAATAAGAATTCCTGATTGCTGTGTTAGACATCTTACCATGAATGTCAACATTTAGTGTCTAAAATGCCAATATCTATTTTATTGCAGCTTTGAAAGACAGATAAAAGCTTAGAAGTGCTGGTGATAATTTGTGCACAATGAGACTTGTTACATACAACCAGATGGTACCTAATCTTTACACTGTGAGTCATATTTAGATGAAAAATAATAAATTTATATTCTAGTGTTTGTAATTCACCAAAAATACATAACTGCAGAACTGGAACACTAGAGAGTTCTCTGTAACAAGTCTGTTATAGACCAGGCTCTTTGCGATAATTAATAATGTTGTAGTGGTAATTTAAAATAAATATGTTGTTTCAATCTGGGATTATCTAACCAGCTCTGGTTTAAAATTTTCCATTATAATTCACATAAATCTTGTTCCAACGTGATGAAATGTGTGGTCTCTCACCCTGTTTTTTCCTTGTCAACCTGTATCTTACATCCATGCTGACTATAAAGAACATTTAAATCTCTTTGCTTTTTTAATGTTCTTACTAAAATTGAAGATTTAAGTAGTTTCCCTTATGGGTGTGTATTTTCTTCTGAGTTAAGACTGTGTGGTGGAACCTTCACCCACCTCCATCATCTGAAGTCCGTGGAAGTCCTGAGCCGTGGGCTTTCAATAAATCCTGGATAAGTCTGATCCATTGTGGATCCAGTTCCCATATCCAGCACTGTCTCCACAGGCACCCCGGAGTTAGTCAGGACTGGATCAGACCTAGATTGTCACTCCTGTAGTGCTTGTGGGCCAGGATTAGAACATTCAGGGAGACTTCTTGAGGATACTGAAGCTGGTGTTTCCACTGGCTGCCCTGTCCCTCCCTGGAGTAGGTGGTGTCAGTTTGGGCAGCTGCACCAAATCTGCAGCTTATGGTTTGAATTTCAGGAAGGACATTTCCGAACTTAAGCACTGTGCTTCTCCATTAGTGCAAGGTGTGCCTGAAAGGTATTTCTGGTCACCACTAGATGATTTTTCTTTGGACCTTTGCGTTAAGCAGTAAAAATCTCCTTTCTAGAACCTCCTTTCTGCTTTTGAATTGTTCTGTGATTATACACAAGCCCCATTGTTGAAGTTGTGATCAATGGCTCTCATTCAGCTGATAGTAAATGGCAAAGTTCAAGTGTAGCAGGAGCTCAGTAACTGTTCCGTCCTTGTGGAAAACTGCATCCTGCCTAACAAAGCAGTTTGCATTTTCCCTGGAGCTACCTGACAGAAAATACCCCCATAGTCAAAGGTTTTCCAGCCAAGTGCTTTGCTCATATTTTGAGGAACAAGGAGAGAGGAAGGCAAAAAACAAAGGGGTCATTGGATACAGAGGAAGAGCAGATGAAAATTGTTTTAATGTGTTCCAGGGGTGGAGCTGGGTGCTCAAAAGGACCTGGTTTTACCCCAACTCCCCTAGAAAGGCAAGCTTGAGAAGAGGAAGTAGCCATTTAAAGTGCTAATTTTTTGGGGGAGGAAATGTGAAGAGAGAGCATTTCTCTCTGCTGCAAATCACGTGTTACTGAAACTAATGAAGCCTTGGCTGGCACTGTGGGCATTAGTCTTCTCATTTTGTTTAATCCTCAGATTCTGGTAAAATGTCCTAAGTCCAAAGTCATCCCATTTGTGGAAGTGCAGTGTGTGCAGAACAGCAGAGCAGTGTCTCTAAATTTAATAAGAACATCACTGGTTTTGAGGAGCCAAAGAATGCCAATGGTAAGATAGAAAAAAAAAAAAAGCAAGAATAGTTGGATAACTAGATATCAAAATTGAGTTGAGACATATTTCCTTTTCTACTCTGTTCTAATATCACTCAGTTATGACCATAGATGCCCCTGAATTTTATTTTTTCAAAATGCAGTGCAGCAAGAATGTATGATGTCTAGGCCAGCTTCATTCTTGCTGTAAGTGGAAATACTTTCCACTAAATAGTTTCTATTTAAATAGAAGTATTTTCTATCTATAGTTTCTATTCTGTTCTCCTAATACTTTCTATCTAAAAAGGATTGAGACTTGGAAATAAATAGTGGGAACAGACTTCCATAAGTTGTTTGGGCATTTTGGACAATGCTAACTTTCTTGAGGGGAAAATGTTGTGCCTGACTTGTGTTTTACTGGAATTTAGGGAAAAAAGGCTAGACATGTTAATTAAAATCAGAGTTTAACTCCTAAATGACAGGCATTTCAGAAATGTATGGGTTCATTTGTATTTGATTATAGAATAAAAAAATAAAACCTTGCCAAGGCCATGAGCAGATGGAGAGCTTTGTGCCTCACCAGGAATGATGTAACCTTGCAGAACAGGGATGTTCTCTGGACCTGCTCATTCTTGGTTTCTGTGTGGAGAAGAGTGGTGGCATATCCTGTCATACTTTCTCTTAGGTGACACCAATCTGTCAGTTCTTATTTTCTTGATGTTCTCTGGAGCTGCCTTGCTTGGCTTGCTTTCTTCTTAGAAAACTAGGCATGTTTGCTGCTGGAATCCTCTTACTAGACAGAGTGAACTGGATTAGTCACTTGAGCTTCCTGATTAATGCATGGCTCTGTGCTGCTGCAAGCACTCTGCTGTGAAGGGAATGCTGCAGTGGGGGATGAGGGCAAACACTGCTCTGTGCTATCATTTATTTTTTAGAGTCTGTTTATACAAAAGCAATCCTGTAATTTGAGATTCCTGTAGTATTGTTCTTTCTTAAGGCTCCTCACAGTCTGTTGTGTAGTAGGTAGAAGTATTGGGATTAAAGAGAGATTATTTTTGCCTCCAAAAACACTGCAGGGATTTAAAATAACTAAACTTGCCCCATCTCATTTGATACTAATACTGGCATAATTGAATAAAAAATCCTGACATGGAAGATCAAAGGAGGAACAACCTCACTTTGGTTAAAAGGGCTGCAGGAGTGGGTTGGAAGGTTTTACCAATCAAAATTCCTGAATGGTTTGAATAATTAGGAGACCAGTTGTCTTCCACAATTAGATGATGTTATTATAAAACTTAATATACATAAGTGCAAATATAAATATTTAAAAGTAGTTTCTGATTAGTAACACTGTAAATCAGTTGTGAGATGAAGTTGTCTTTACCCCAGAAGTGAAGAATTACACTCTGAACAGCTTTAATGGGGAAGTAGGAGACGTTTCTGACTCAAAATCCAATAAGCATCTCTGTCTCTGATGAAAGCCACTGTGGGTTCTCCCATAGCTGTAATAATAATAATAATAATAATAATAATAATAATAATAATAATAATAATAATAATAATAATAATAATTCCTTGGTGTTAGGAATTAACACCTGTGACTCCTGCAGTTTGGAAATGGGAAAGTCTTGTAACATTTCTTCCTGCATTTGTGTTGTTCTAAAAGTGGGCAATAAGCTCTAAGCCATATTTTTTTGTTTCATAGACGATTGATCAACACCAAGAAGCAAATTTTGTCCATCATAACCATGGTGTTCATTCCAGAAAAAAATGGGGCAATGCTCTTGTGGATTTTTGGGAACAATTCTTTTCTGGGTCTGACAGGCTGAATTAGAGGGACACCCATCATACATCAGGGGTTCTCCAGTAGCTGGAAGGTGACCTGGCACTCCCTTGGATTTGGCAGGAAGGTAACAGTTCTGTGCTGCAGGCACTGACTTAGGTTCTGCTGGAATGCTGCCATGGACTTTAGTGGGAGCAGAAATTGGTCATGCAGCCAAGGAAATGCATTATTAATGGGACAGTGTTTGATCAGGGGGTGATAAGATAAAGACTAAGCCACTTTCTTGGTGCTGGTTTATTTTTTCCTAATTACAGAGGAATCACTGGGGCTTTGGAAACATTTGAAAAGACAGAACTTTCTTGCATGGAGTTCAGCACTTAAAACCATGCCAGATACTCACTATCCCAGGCAAGCCAGTAATTCCCAATTTGTAGTTACAGAGTTGTTCTGCAAAGGGTGGGAGCAGAGAGTGGATACATGCACCTCTTCAAAGCCTTAAAATTTAAAATAAAATTCTATTGCAAGCATAAAGATGGTAAATAGAAGAGGAAGGGAGTAGGGACAGTAGTTTTAAGAAGAGGAATGTGGAGAAATTTACCTGCAGTTGTTTATTGGGAGCTGCAGTCAGTGGCACCCTAGAAAAGAGTTCTATGTGAGCAGCATAGAGAAAAGGGGTGGCTGGGGAGAAGGGGTTTGGTAGAAGAGGGTCTGAAAAAGTGTGTAGAAGCAAAAGCTGAGGAGATGTTTGGAGCTGAAGAGAGACCAATGTTTCATCAGCTGATAAGGGAATACTCAGTTTAGATGGCAGCACCTACGGGCTCTGGGCAGGTCACAGCAGGGATTTGGGACTCACTGTGAGTCTTGTTTAGCTGTTGGTGATGTTTTATATTTTCCCCCTGTTTAAAACCAACCAGACTCAAACTTTTCTTAAACATCCACTCCTGGACTCTACAACTGTTGTACTGCTGTGAGTAGTTCAGCTCACTTGGGAGAAAAATCTCAAGTACCAGGTAGGAAAACAAACTTGAATTGTGTGAGGAGCTCTAACAGTAACATCTCTTCCCAGAGAGATGTTACTGTCTGCTGTCAGGAAACAGGCAGACAAAAAATTTGCAGACCAAGTTAAAACTCATTAATGACCCACAATATAACTTGGGGAGAAAAAAAACCACCAAACAACTGTGCAGTTATCTAAGTTTGCTGACACTTTGGAAACAAAATGATGACTAAATAGTAATGTGTGCTTCAAAGAATGAGTGATATACCAAGATGAATAGGATTTAGGCACTATTTATCACAGTTAAGCCATAGCCTGAATACCATAGTGCTGATTCCTTAAATTCATTATGCGGCCAGTATAATCTAGCAGGCAGCAATGTGCCTGTGAGAAGGAAGAAACTATTTCCATTGTTTTGAACTGAACTGTAGGCAGAGAGTGATTGACAAGATTGTGCTTTGTCTTATTTCTAAGATACCACACCAATGTTTGTAACAAGACTTGTGTGAAGCAAAGTGTTAAACCCACTGAATTCTTACAGTTTGTTATTTAAAGTAGTAATCATGGTGTATTTATCTGATGGATACAGGGGGATGTCATTCCATACATGTAAAAAGTGTTGGTGATGAAGTGTTGGTTGGACATCATCCCTGTTTAGAGCTGGCAGTGTGTGGGTGCTTCCAGCTTCTATTTATGTGACTGGGATTTGTCCTGTGGAATAAATAATAATTAATTTTTCTGGAGCTAATACCCTGAGGGTTCTGAGAGCAGCCTCATAGCTCTGCACTTATTTTATTTGTAGAAATTATTGTGTGTGAAATAACAGCTTTGTTCTGATCCAGCCATAAAATTTACTCTTTGGGTGGTAGGAAATGTGGCACTCCTGAGCCACTCCAGTGGGAATTCTGTAATATTCTGGGGAGAAGGGAGGAGGAAAGGATAGAAATAGCCAGAGCTTCTGAAATTTTTGACTTAGTCAAGGTATGTTTAAAATTCTCACAGTGTTCTGAATG